ACGTGGTTTCGATCGCGAGACGCGTGCCGCGGGATTCGAAACACATGGACAAAATTCTCGTCTGGAACGTGGAATCTCGAATTAGAAACGTAACTCGAATGGTTAGCATGGACCTAGAGGTTCATACTTGACAGATTTGATAATTGGAAGAATTTAGAAATAAATTATTAAAAGTAACTTCTTTGGGAATGCCAATGCCATCTGTTGAACAGAAAGTAAACAATAGCTCGAATCATTTTTTAGAACCATCGAAGACACAGACATGATTAGAACATCGGATGTGCCTAGTCAAGAGTGGATCATTCGCGCGAGTTTTCTAACCACGGGTGGCGACGGATCATTCGAGCGTGAAGGGGTTAAACGTAACGTCTTCCTCTTTCTTCGCGTGTGTACGCGTCTGTCGACACCGCCGTTGCCCATTTGAAAGTGCAAAAAGGAAACGGGGTGAGAGAGAAGGAGAGACTATCGAGAGTTGCGAGTTCTCGACGCGGTCCAATTACTTTAAATTGAGTTATAACCGGATCAAATTGCCGATAATTGGCGATTGCATAGCTTAATCGGGTGCCACCCCGTCTTGCTCCTCCTCCCACGCGTTTTCTTCTTCTCCGTTCCGCCTCGTCTCACGTACGAAGTTATTCTACGAAATAGCTTCCAAGAGCAAAAAGATGGTTTCGTGAAGATCAACGTCGATTCGATTATTAGTTAGGCAATCTAACATAATTAGTCTCCCAGATAAGCACTCACCATACTCTAATCAACGTTCAAATGAATTAACCGCCTGACCAAATTTCAGCAACCTGTCCACCCACAAACTCTACCTAATTTACTTTAAATCGCTGCTAACTAGCGATTGCCTGGCTCGCGATAAGTTGTCACCCCAGCCTAGCCGTATGAAGTTATTCTTTGAAACGGTCCGGCAAAAAGACGAGACTCCGAGAAGATAGAAGTACAGGGAGGAGAGAGTAGAGCAACGAGGTGAAACCAGCCGTGGAGAGTGCGCGAGGTAATCCAGAGAAACGGAGAGAGGAGATTCCGTCGTTCGCGGAGCAACCTTATCCTTCAACAATACAAATTGCTGATTATGCGCCCAACTTTTACGTGCCTTCTAATTGGGCCGCCTCGGCTCTTGGGAAAGATCGACCGATCGCACGATCGGCCCTCGTTAACCCCTAACGCTCTCCGTGCACGCCAGGGTTCCGTTCGTAACCCTCCTCCGCCTCCTGCCGCGGCGACGGACGACGATAGCCTGCGACGTCTCGCAGCTTCACCCAGAGCGCAGCGCCGACTATGGGATCGCGAGGCGTATATGGGCATGCAGCAAGTCGTGCCGCCCGCTGGACCAGTTTCGAGTGTCGTCTCTTTTGACTATCGAAATCTGGATCGAGGGACGCGCGTCTCGCGGCTGATTTCCGCGCGTCGTCGATCCTCTCTTTATGGGGCCATCCTCTTTGCAACGCGGGACGTGCCTTCAGCCAAGATTTTATCTTCCACGACTGAGGGATGTGGGAGGGCTGCCTGTTTAACTGTTTATCGCGAGTTGCGCCGAGAATGTTGTGTACTAAATGCGTATTTAAAGGTTTACGTGGTTTTGAGGCCCAAACAGGGAGCACATTTTTTAGAAATTTGTTCGAACACACTAAATTTCTAGATGGTATAATTCCATGTTCGAAAGAAAATTATTTCTTACTTTGAAAAGGATCGTATGGTTCAGAACGGTTTCGCGCGCAACTGTCGTGTATCCGCCAGCACATTTGCTCTTGGTCGTACGCCGAGACCTCGCCATTAGGATAATTTTATTGGGCAATTATGGACGTCGCGGTAGCACGCATCGTTCTGGACGCATCTCGCGACGCACGTGCACGTATTTTGTATTCTGTTCGCTTTTGGACTCGAGTTGCTCGCTGCGGAATCACTGGACGGTGTAATCGGAAGAACGAGGAGCGATTTGCGTGTTTCGCTGGTCAATATTTGTCCTCTCAGAGCCCATTTCCAACTAATCGTATCGATGTTACGTGAACTGTACGAAACATTCAAATTTTTCCCTTACATTTTTGTTATTTTTATATATTACGTTTGAAAAAGAAATTGGACGAAACCTACAGAAAAATACTTGGAGTAGCTTCTAAGAGGAGATTACACAACTCGTCTCGGTGACTCTCCAATGGAATAAACATTGGCAATAAATCGGTGTACAGTGTTATCATTCGTCACGTGTTATTCTATTAAAATTTTGCCCGTCTCTGGCATCGAGCGCCTATCCACGCGATCAAAGCGACTGGAGCGATTACGCGCGCGACTCGATGGCTTTATGAATTAGTAACCACGCGAAGATGCGGCTCATTACTCACTGCTATCGGCGTCGTTGCTAGCGATGGGATCAAGCATCTTACAAGTAACTTCGAATCCTAATCTGTTTCATTTTTTAGGAGTTCTGTCGATCTATGACTTGGTAATGTAGAGCCATTGGTCGATAAAGAAGATTATCTACTTCTTTGCTGGCAATGTATCCTTCGAGTGGTTACGATTCTACATTGTCATCGAATTGTACTATGTTATCGACCAAGTACCTACATTCTTTATTCCCTACCTCACCGACTAAGTAACCCTTATTCAAGATACATACGACTCCATCCACGACAAACTGACTGTTATCGTCCATTCTATAATCAAATCACACTAAAATGATCAGATTGAACTGTACCAGGAATTTACTCGGATTTAAGAGTGTCAGCAGAACTTGATCCCATCCCTAGTCGCGGGCTTGCTCGTTGCAGCAAGTGCGCGTTTGGCGCAATCAATTAAAGCTCATTACGGTTGTCCTTTTCTCTCCTCGGTCGTTAATTCGCTTAACCGGGAAACGTTGAAAGGCAGAAAGTGCCAGAGGAGGGGAAAGAAAAATCGGCTGAACACGAAATACGAGACTGCGTTTACACACGGCCGACGTCGACTTCTTATTCGAAGCGCGTAGAACGCGAGTAAGTAGTCGATCAATGGCTATCCGTGTCCGCGTTCGGGACGCTGCTGGCCGATCAGAATGGTTCTCCTAGGTCCCAAGAGAGCTGTTGACATCCAGCTCCGCGTGCGCGATGGTGACTCGCCTCGCGTATTTTATGCACACGTTTCTCCTTTCGGAGCGGATCTTCCCTAGAACGCGAAAGAGAAAAGGGGTTTTCAAAGGCCCTGTCGCAGTCTCGTGTGTATTTTAAAGGACTTCCGGAACGTGGCTACCGACTCCGGGCATTTCAGCAATTCAACGCCCGTCCCGATGGATGTTTTTGTTTTGTGCAAATGAACCGATCAACGTCGACGTTTCTGTTGTCTAATCAGAATTCGATTCATTAGCTCCTGGTATTCCACCGTCCTAAGCCGAAGAGGCGAACCTGAAGATGTACCTTGAGACTTTGTAGAGATCGTGGAAGAAAGAATCATCTGTTTTAATCGAGCAATGCCAATGTTTAATAATTTGATGGACGACCGTAATTGAATAAAATTAAGTTCCGAATACACAGCATCGCGCAACCCAAATCTCCAAATACGTCAGGCACCGTTCCTCGAATCGAGTGTCCAACTGTGAGGGATCGAGCCTTTCATCGGTGGTCAGCTCGATCTGGATCGCTCCAGTTTCTCCCGCAGAGCAAATCAAGCTGCTGGACCGATCGATCTCGCGAACCCTAACCGGTAACCCCGGGTCCGTCGATATTTCACTCGGCGAGAGGCCGTGGCAACGTTCGTGGCTGGGGCAAAATCGTCCTGCGTGAGCCACAGAGCGTTGGCCAACTCATGCATAGAGTCATGACGAGTCTAAGCGATTGCTTATTGCTCGGGTGGTGCAATCAGTCGCTGCTGACTGACGCATTACTTCTACGACCGTTTGTTATCCTGGATGGATACGGTCTACAAGATACCAAAGTACGTGTTCGGTCCATGCGCATAGGCAATGATCGAGTAAGGGTACGTTTACACTGCTGCAACGCTGTATCGTGGAACGTATACGGAAGTAAGGTACTTCGGTACCTCTAAAAGGGTGGATTACGATAGCTATTCGAGCTCTACTCAACTCAATCGCTCTGATTTTTGTATTAGGTTGGCTAAAAAGTCCGTTCTGTTTGTGGTGATGTTGAAAAGGTGTTATAGAGTTAACATATTTCCTTGTTTAAGAAAAATCGCTGTTTATTTGTGCATTCAAATCCGAATGAATTTTTTGGCCAACCTAGTAGATTAATGTGTGACACAATTGGAGTAACTTTGGTCATTTTTAAGATACAACAACGTTCTACGACGGGTTCTCGTAGGCTTACGTAAAGTTATTATCGCAGTGTCTATACAATCGCGCTCGATTAGCATCGATAATCGACGGTCGTGAAGAGGCCGTCACGTGAATCCACGCGCACCGTTCGCGCGCGTTCCGGACGTAGAAGGAACGCTCGACCTGCCAAGGTTAACCGCGTGGCCAGATATCCGTAACTTGACGAGTTTGCAACGCTCTCGCGCTTCCTGTTGCGATTGATTAATGGCGGCCGCAGTGAGACTCTACGCCGCCGTGTATAGAGTAGGTCGACAACAATTCCCACCTGAAATAACTTCTTAAATCCAAGAAATACAATAGATAATCATACTGCTCGTTTAAAAATGAATCTATCTTAACACAAAATCTAATCAGTACGAGACAATTTTAAGCAAAGATGCATGCTTTTGAACAAAAATGTATTGTATATTTTACAATATAAAAATAAAGATATAAAATCTTTTTTCTTATTATGGACTCAAAGGATCAATACTTTGAGAACGTGTCATTAAAAGGAATCTTGAAATCTTAAACAATTGTTGAAGTTATTAATCGTTAAAGTCATGTTACGATAATAAAAAGGAATATATGAAATATCGTGATGGTCTTACCTTTGTTTCATACGTAGCAGCTCCAAAGCATCCTCCATCTTAACAGTGGAGGATTCTAGGATTGGGAATCGGTCGACGAATAAAAGGACACGAAATAGAAATGATCGATTGAACAAAAATATTTAATTTCGCGATACGTTTAGGTACTGGCCGCTCGTGTTCACCGCTTACATGCTATTATGTACACAAAAAAATGAGGATGGGGGAAAAACGAAAATGTCGGGAAAAGGGAACGCCGTGTGAAAAACGGAAAATCTGTTCGCTCCGGTTTGCGCTAGCCGAGAGAGCTCGAACGCTAAGCGGAAGCACGGAAGCGATATTCTGGAGTCGCTCGTACCAGTCCTCCCCCTCCCGTGCTTATTTACAAGATGCACACGTTTGTTTTATACATCGACGTCGACGTTACTCTTCTCGTTCATTTTATTTACTGGCCTCTCGTCGTGACAGGGTCGCAGAACCGATGAGGACGTTCCTCGACGTCCTCATCTCGCGGCCCCGCGCCCAGGACGCTTCGCTGTACAACGGAGATGAGAAAAAACGATGCTCAAGGGACCGTACGTACGATAGAGATTAGATCCTAAAGGGGTCCGTTCATAGTATACGTTCATATACATATAGAATATTTATATAAATATATTATATTAAGGCACTCCACTACTGGCCGATAATATTTGCGACTCTCCGTTTCTTTTATACAAGGGGGCATACATGTGTGTACGTATACACGCGCACGACAGAACTCGTGATGACCTCTACACGTCAGAATGGGAAATTAAAGCACAGCAAGTGGATCGTTCGACTTGTCGAGGGGAATTGTTCCTTTAGACTTCCGAGCGTCAGAAGTGCCACAGCAGTCGATGAAAGTAGCTTCCGGTGCCTCTTCCCCTTGCCAAGTTGATTATTCCACTTGTCAGGCTTTTTAAGAGTGTTTTCTCATGTCACGGATGCGCGGAAAGTAATTTGTCTTAGAGTTTATAGTTTCTCTAAAGTTCATCGGATAGTAGATAGGTAGCTAAACTTGAAACGCTGTTTTCTCGAAGTTGATGATTATATTATACAAGTGTAAAAAATATTTTTCCATCGTCCAAATTGTGGTAGGAATTGTTACGTTTTTTTTTTTTTCTCGTTGTGCGAGACAAATTGAAAAAGTTGCAAAGATCGTCCATCTTTCGACACGTTACACGAGACTGCCTCTTTTCTAGCCGCTACCGCAATAAATTAATCTCGACTCCTGCTATCAGTTCAACTGGACAACTATGTACAAGACTTGAACACATTTTCGTGACGGGCTCTTGGTCGCTGTCGCGCAACGATTCCACGTCGTGGCACTTCCACGCGCCACGGAATGATTCCTCCGACGATCCTCGAGCGTCTCCAAACGCCTTTTCAACGTCATCTCCAAGGGAACCGGTCATCCCTCGCAACTGAAATGTTTAACCCGATTCCATCGGTTCGATCCTTTCATCGAGGATTTAACGGCACCAATCGATGCTCGATAAGAACTGGGGACTAGCCTGTCGCGGGCCTGGGTTGCTAAGAACTTCACAACGATAAAGGCACTTCCGCTGGCCTCTTTACGCCTAACGTCAGATCTAAAGGTTTGCTCTTGGTGGTTGCTTCCTCTTTCGCGGGGCTGTCACGATCGCACTCGTTGTCGTTCGATCTGTTATCTTCCTCTGAAGACTGACTGGGCCGCGGGGAGCTTCTGCTTGACCTGACGCTGAGATCTATCGGCTCGTCCTGTTCCACGGCTAGCCCGCCCGGACTGGGACTGACGAGCAGTAGATCGCCGCCTCTGGGCGAATGCTGAGAGGTTGCTGGCGTCACAAGGCCAGGGGGTGGGTACACCAACCCCAGACCCTGATGGGGATGGTAACCTGTCGTCAGCGTGACGGTGGCGTTGATCTTCCTGGGTGGAAACTCGCGCTCCGAGAGAGTAGGCGATGCTGCGCTGGTTTTGAAGTAGCTCAACGCTGAATTACTCCTGGACTCCGTGTCCTGACCATCCCCACCGTCCACGGAAGATGCGCCGCTGTCGCTGGGCGTGTCTGCTGTCCTTTTGTAAGTCGGGAGGAACGGTCGAAACACATCGGATGGGCTGGTGGGCACGCAGACGGTGTCCTTCTGAGCGAAGTTCATGGGAAACATCGGAGAAGCGGGATGCTGCTGCTGTTGCTGCTTGTAGAAAGGCGGCGGAGTGGTGTCCCTCGGAGGGGTGCCTGGGGGCTGCTGAGGATTGCCACCCACCCTTTCGCGCTCCTTCTGCCATGCCAGCAGACGCAATTGGTTCTGAAGAGCCACGTCGTCAGGGTGAGGTGATTTGTTGCCCCTCTCGCGCTCTTGCTTCAGCATCGCCACGTGCAGCAGATGGGATTGGAGGGCTAGGTCCTCCTGACTAGGTGACGCGCGGTCCTTCGCGTCCTTGTACACTCCGCTGCCCTGCTGGCTCTGAGCCTGAGGCAGGAATCCTGGTAGAAAGCCTGGCCCGAACGGCGATCCAGCGCCCGCGGCCACGTTCACGTTCTGACCACCGTTGGTCTGCTCCTGGAGCAGGCAGTGGATCTTGAACCAATTCGATCGGCGACCGTAGCGCGAGCCTGACTTCGACATTCCCACGATTAGGCACTTTCGCAAACGGCAGGCCTTACAGGCGGTGCGATTCTTCTTATTGATCACACATACTCCTCCGTTCTTGCACTCCGAGATGCTGCCCAGGTTGTTGTACGTCCGCCCGAAGAACGACTGTAAACAGAGGAGAAAGGTAACGATGAGTTATGCGTGGCAGGTACTTTGATGAAGATTGACAGTTCTGGCACTCAAAGGGTTACAACAACGATGCCAGAATGATCTGAATCTAAAGTGACGACGTCCACTAAAAAGTATCGCACCTATTATACGAAATTATTATTATTCGGTGCCTTGATTACAGAACGCGGCCACTAAGAGCGGCGGTATGCGTTTTTGCGTCAAGTACAGTTCCCACAGCTAAGGTAGCTCGATGCTAATAAACATGCCGGGGGAGAGCAGCGAGCGGTAAGCAGTGTGGCAAGTTATTGCCACGAATTTTTGCTACGGTTTCCGCGAAAGGCAAGTCATCGTAGGTAACTTCTTTACGGGAGCAGCTCGTGGAAACAAACAGGGAGTCGCGCGGTTCAGAACCCGTCGTTCCTTTCGTCGAGGATTCCGTCGGACACGTCTAGGATGAAAGATCCCCCGCGCCATATAAAGGGCCGACCGTGCGAATCAGCGAGGTCCACGCGCGTCTCCGCTGGATTAAACGTCAAGGTTTAATGCCACGCGTGTCACGAGAATTAGCATCAAGAAGGGCCGGCAACGGCGAGAGGGTGGACCAGAAGATGGGCCGCGTGCGTGGCGTAGGCCCCTCGTGCAGTTAAACGCCTGTCAGTCGACGATGAAATCGCCTCGAAAGTAGGACTGGGACTTTTCGAACTTCTTTGTGGAGCGTTTTATTACTCAAATGTTTCTGGGACTCGAATGCTCGGGGAATAGGTTTCTAAGAATTCGAAATGCAAACCAAAATATGGTGCATGTACAGAGATTTAGAGAAAAATACATGAGCAGGCGTTACGTGGAAAGAACATGAAGTAAAGAGTTTCCTAAAAGAGGCTTCAGGATTTCGTTTTTAATAATAATCGAATATACCAGCCGATCCCCCCATCGTGGAATAAACCTGTTAGCCCAGACGGAGGAGTTCACATATTGGACACCGGAAACTCTTGGATTCTGGGCTTCACCTGACGCAGGCCACGTGGGCGACTAACGGTCCAAAAACCCAAAAGCTCGAGTAGCGGTACGCGTCTCGAATGGGACCGACGACTCATCCGCTGGAAATGTCCGGTGCTATCGATCCGTGGCCCACATTTCAGCCCTGATATAATGCCCTGGGATTATCCGACCTCGTGTCACCGCTTAGTCGCGTCTCTGAGTCACCGACGGTCTTACAGTCGTGAGAAACTCTTGGTTAGCTTGTACCATGCGTTCGTCCACTTGGAGGATTGAATATATTTGCTTCGCCAAGGGTTCGTTCGCGAATCCTTCGAAATGAGCGATGGACCGTTTCCGGCATCCCAAATGAATCTACTGACCAGCTCATTATCGGATTAGAATTCAGTAAACGGTATTGTAAATCAGGGCAAAATGAAACGAAGGCCAACGGATTAGTCGATGCCTCCGGCGATCTGGGTACAACCCGAAGAGGTTGACAAACTGGTAACGAACGCGAGACGCGCCATCCGAAGCTCGTGGAAGCAGGACCAGCGGTACCCGCGGAGGCAATCTTCGAGCAACGATCTTAGATCTTCACGTCCACGCGTTGAAAACGGCTTCTGTAGGCCAGATGATCCTTGGCTGTCACCGCGACTGTGTGAAAGAGGTTACGGTGCCGTGTTGCGCACGTTAAAACGAGCACGGCCTGAGGATCCGATCGCTTCCGCCTACGAAACGCTCATTGTCCGCGCTGGAATATGATCTAGTGTACACGCGTGCTTAAGGTTTGGAGCGAAACCAAAGTATAAGCGTGGATCTAGGAGTGGCGTGGCACGAATATTATACGAACATCGCATTATATGGATGCAGAATAACAGGAAGAGCTTTAGCAGATAATATTCCAGGTACACAACAATAAATGAAAATCATTAAAAATTCCCCAACTTTCCACTATTTATTGCTCTCATTATCGAAGACCAACGAAGCCATAATCGTTTTCTAAACTTCTACGAAAGCATCGTCCGTTGGCAGAAAACGAGACCGTAAGGGCGGTAAACAAGCGTGTTTACAATCGCGCGGGTCGATTGCGTGTTTCGCTCGGTCAGCTGTGCGTATCTTGACCGTAGACAGAAAACAAGGTGGACAACGGGATTCGCGTGATTGCGTAAGAGGCGTGCGAGCGCGTGTTCCTCGGGCTTTTCAAGTTTTTGCCCCGGTCCTCGTCCAGATCGCGAATCACGTACCGGCAACGAACGAAACAAACGCCGGCAGAGAAAATTCCCGGCGACAGAAACGCGCGCCATTTAGGGCCTGGCTGCGACAAATCCGTCATTGAACGACGGAGATTATCACAAATCAGCCAGCGCGCATCGGAATCCCGAATCGATTTGTAACGCCATATAGAACGCCACGGGGAAATCGTTGTCCGTGATCGTGAACGGAAACCGGCGCGGGAAAGTTTGACAAATTGTCCGTCGGAAAACGTTTACGCGTCGTACAGCTTGTACCAAAGATGGCGGGTTGATTATGTACACGCGCAGGGCAACCGCGATCGAGCTGGCTTTCAGAATTTTTTATCGAGATCGAACGTTATTTTGTGGAATGTCGACGCGCCTAAAAATGTGTGCTTTGAAGCTTCTATCTTTGATCGAGAATGATTAATTATTATAAAAGTAACGATTGCGAAGAATCAGCAAATCAACCAGCAATAATGTTTGGTTAGGTTTCATTTCTTTGGAACTGGAAGTGTCAATAAAATGATTGTCGGTGAGGCAAAGGTGAACTGATTCTCAAGTCTCAAATTAGAGATCCCATTTTCGAAGTAAATCTAACCTTAGCATTCGTGGCAATAGAATAATTTCAAATGGCGGAATACGCTTGCTGCTTTGCGACTTTTGGAAAAAATCGAAGGTGATAGCGTTGCCGATAGTCGAGGTCTCGAGCGCCGAACACGGCGTTTCTTCGGTTCGGCGTCGGGAATGCGATTGGCATGGCGTTTGCTAAGTCGAGCGTTAACGTTGCGGGAACAATTTCCTCGTGGAGAGATAGAGAGGAAAAAAACAAGCACGCCCGATAGTTTCCCGCACGTGACGGGAATTCGAGCTGCCAGGCAATCGACAACGTCTCGAGTTGAGGTGGCGATTGTAAACGGCCGACACAAGATCGCAACAGGCCGTGGACCGTTTAATTTTTACAGACCCGCTGTATCATAAAATACTCTACTTTGAGAAATTATTAATATTTTAACCATTTGTAACGTTCATAAATTTATCATTTATCCCTACTTGCCTGATACATTTTCTACACTGAGAGATCTATCGAAGAAGACCTAAAAAGCAAGGTCGTAGCGTTTAGAAATACACTTCTAATATGCTCGATCTATCGTTGCCTCGCTTACCTACTTCTACTAATTCACAAGCGGTATACTGAAATTTGTTATTCCTAATTTGTTCACGTCCGCTCCTGAATATTCATACCCCCATGAAAAAATTAATTTCTGTTCGTGACGACTGGTTTTTTCGACGATTCCGCGAATCACCTGCGATCTTTGTTCTCCGGGACGTCGCGGCGAGCTAAGTGAACCTGCAAACAGACTTCTAGAAGCCGACAGACATGACGTCGCGTGTTAACGCGATTAGAGGGGGAGGACCTCCTCGAGGTTGAAATAATTTTCACCAGCGACAATCGCGAATGCTCGATTTAACACGCGCGTACAATGAGGATACGCGTTCTACGATTCAGATTATGTAAACGTCGCGCTCCGCGATCACGGAAAACCGCTCGTTTGTTAATTGCTACTCCAACGAGTCGTGCGATTACGTAGCTAGAGCGAAATTTTCAAGAAACTGAGGCGCTGCAGCGAGTTGTTGACTCTTCTGGAACACTCGAAACGCGTCGTTTTGCTACTCATCGTATTTACTATTGGCGATGACGCGCGGCTATAGGTTCTATATGGAAGTCCAGGCCACTCAGTAGCGTAGGAATATTATTCACGAAATTGCTTTTAACTCTTTGGGAAGAAAAAATAAAAATAAAATTCAAGCTGGACAGAAGAACAGTATCAACAACTTGCTAACGCGTTTTGACTTGTATACATTTCCGATTCCACTTATTATACTTTTAGCGTTGGTAATGCTAAGCAAAAGGTGCGATGATAGTTTTTAATCTACCTAATTTCAAAGAGTTGATTCACTCTTTGAGAACTTTGTCGGATACCAATTGCAGAAAGGAAATAGAAAAAACACAATTATAAATGTTTTATCAACTTCAACCTGGCTAAACGTCAGGTTCAATCGTAAACCGTCGGCGTCGCGACGCACGCGTTTGACAGACTGTTCTCCCGAGACCACACCGCGACTCCTACGGTCCCTGGCTGGACAAGCCATTTCACATTCCCACGTCCTTAATATAGATTGTTGATACGCGAGCGAGTAAGAGGCGCGTGGAACAAGGACGCTCGAGTTGAACGAAAAGGACGACGCTACGGCCAGGATCGCAACGGTGAAGGAGGCCAGACGTCGTCGTGAGGAGACGAAAACGGACGGATAGAGGTTGCGTCGTCCCTCGCATAGAACGACGAGGACGTCGCGATGCCGGGACACGCGGTCGAGACTGAGAGAACGCTTGACTCACCTGCACAGGTGTGTCGGTCGATTGTAAAGAAACGGTGTGAAAAAAAGAACGGGGGAACGAAATTTTTAGACGCCTTTTGAGCCAACTCGAGCCGCGTGAAAAATAGTGTTCCCTTTTGATGAGGAGAGGATAAGGTGACTTTCAGGTGAATGCTAAAGGAGGTGAATGTTAAAGCATCGTGGGGGATTCCTTTCAATTTACGAGACACAGAAGTGCAAGGTTGTTGAGTAAGAAGACTTATTTGTACGAAATATCATGCCCGTGAAGTTCTTTAACTTCTATATACAGTCTGAATATTTCGAAAGAATGAGGTCAATATCGAGATTAAGCATACTATTTTGTTTACCATAATAGCATGTTTTGGCGTAGATTGAAATTTGAAT